CATTGTTACAAAGTGAACATAATTAAAGCATAGTGATGAATCACAAAAACAATATGTAATTATATATGTGTTTTCCGATGGTCTTAGGCGACCCCTTGAAAGGGTCGTTTGACCCCCAAAGGGGTCGTGACCCATAGGTTGAGAACCACTGCATTAAGATGACAAAGAACCCCAAAGAGTATGTGGGAATCTCATTGCCTACAGCAGGGGTCCTCAAACTACGGCCCGCGGGCCACATGCGGCCTGCCGAAAACATTTTTCGGGCCCACCGGGTGTTTTTCCCGCCGCTGTGTGCCGCTGTGTGCATAGGAATTTGTTCATAGTTTTTTTTTTAAACTATAGTCCAGCCCTCCAATGGTCTGAGGGACAGTGAACTGGCCCCCTGTTTAAAAAGTTTGAGGACCCCTGGCCTACAGTATTGTGTTTGGAGTGAAAATAGCAACATGTTTAAGAAATGTAAGAAAAGAAGAAGAAAAAGATCTACAAGCCTGCCATTCTGCATATAAAACACAATATTGTGAATAGTACATTTTCCAAGGAGGGTGAGCTTTTGTGCACTTTAAAATATTTTAATTCTCGCAGCACTTTTAGATATTGCTGACTCTAAGGAAAATAAAATTCAAAGCCACAAGTATTGAGCCTGAGGGATGGAAAGGACTTTAATTATAGACAATTGGATTTGAAATCACCCAGTGGTGGTGACCTCAGACTCCAGTTCTGGTAAGAGGAGGCGTGTGCTCAGCCAGCTGGGTCACCCAGTTAAAGGATCGGAGTCTGGCTTGGGCATCATGGGCATGGGCCTTCCGTGGAGGGCCTATCTGGATGGAGGGGAGTGGGGTCTGTGAGCACACAGCTTGTTCCCACTCAGCAGAGATTCACTGAGGGCCTCCTTGGTGTCAGGTTTCTTGTAGACATTTTGGGGGTTGGGGGTTCAGTGGAGAACAAGATGGACAAGGTGCCTGGACTCACCAAGCTTATGACCTAAAAGGGGAAGAGAAAGTAGTGAAACAAGGTACTTTTGGATTGAAGAGTGATCTTATAGAGAGAACCTCTGTGTGTTGCATGGGGGATTAGGGGACATCCTCTGTGAAGTCTGAAGAGTCAAAAGGACTCAGCCATCTGGACTGAGGAAGAACAAGGGCCAGGACCCTGAGGCAGGAAAGAGCTTGGCATACGCCAGAAACTTCCAGAAGGTCAGTGTGGTTACAGTGCAGAGAGCACAGGGGAGGGCGGTACCAGACAAGGTTAGGAAGGGAAGCAGAGGGTGTTTCAACAGGCATGGGAAGGAGACTTTTAGGTGAGGAAGTCACATAATTTGACTGCAGTGCTGGCAATGGGGTGTGGTGAGTAGGAGCGGGAGGGGAAGCCGAGCCTAGCGATCCCTGTTTGTTTTTCTTCCCTGAGGATTAAACAGATTAAACCTTCACCTGTTTTCTGCAGTGAACTTGCAGTGGTTGGCTAATTAGTGAACTTACTACAGACCTGTTAGCCCAGTTAAGTCTGGGTGACAGCAAAGGGCAGGGGAGGAGCTGCCTTGCAGGCAAAAGCGCCCTCCAATGGTCTGAGGGACAGTGAACTGGCCCCCTGTTTAAAAAGTTTGAGGACCCCTGGCCTACAGTATTGTGTTTGGAGTGAAAATAGCAACATGTTTAAGAAATGTAAGAAAAGAAGAAGAAAAAGATCTACAAGCCTGCCATTCTGCATATAAAACACAATATTGTGAATAGTACATTTTCCAAGGAGGGTGAGCTTTTGTGCACTTTAAAATATTTTAATTCTCGCAGCACTTTTAGATATTGCTGACTCTAAGGAAAATAAAATTCAAAGCCACAAGTATTGAGCCTGAGGGATGGAAAGGACTTTAATTATAGACAATTGGATTTGAAATCACCCAGTGGTGGTGACCTCAGACTCCAGTTCTGGTAAGAGGAGGCGTGTGCTCGGCCAGCTGGGTCACCCAGTTAAAGGATCGGAGTCTGGCTTGGGCATCATGGGCATGGGCCTTCCATGGAGGGCCTATCTGGATGGAGGGGAGTGGGGTCTGTGAGCACACAGCTTGTTCCCACTCAGCAGAGATTCACTGAGGGCCTCCTTGGTGTCAGGTTTCTTGTAGACATTTTGGGGGTTGGGGGTTCAGTGGAGAACAAGATGGACAAGGTGCCTGGACTCACCAAGCTTATGACCTAAAAGGGGAAGAGAAAGTAGTGAAACAAGGTACTTTTGGATTGAAGAGTGATCTTATAGAGAGAACCTCTGTGTGTTGCACGGGGGATTAGGGGACATCCTCTGTGAAGTCTGAAGAGTCAAAAGGACTCAGCCATCTGGACTGAGGAAGAACAAGGGCCAGGACCCTGAGGCAGGAAAGAGCTTGGCATACGCCAGAAACTTCCAGAAGGTCAGTGTGGTTACAGTGCAGAGAGCACAGGGGAGGGCGGTACCAGACAAGGTTAGGAAGGGAAGCAGAGGGTGTTTCAACAGGCATGGGAAGGAGACTTTTAGGTGAGGAAGTCACATAATTTGACTGCAGTGCTGGCAATGGGGTGTGGTGAGTAGGAGCGGGAGGGGAAGCCGAGCCTAGAGATCCCTGTTTGTTTTTCTTCCCTGAGGATTAAACAGATTAAACCTTCACCTGTTTTCTGCAGTGAACTTGCAGTGGTTGGCTAATTAGTGAACTTACTACAGACCTGTTGGCCCAGTTAAGTCTGGGTGACAGCAAAGGGCAGGGGAGGAGCTGCCTTGCAGGCAAAAGCTTGTACTGGTAAGAACAGTATATAACCAACCCCAGGCAGGTGTGCAAAGGAGAAGCTGGGACAGCTCACCCGGAAAAGAGCAACATCTCTCCACTGTGGTTGCTTCGCTTCACTCCCTCCCATCCTCCCCTTCCTTCCCTGAGGCCAGGAGGAATTATTATCACAATTGACAGGAACAGGAAGGCAAACAATTTACACCCTCATCCACACTTAATAATCCACAAATAGTCACGGTGCTGAGGGGCCTTAAGGAGATACTAAATCTACTGGGCCCTGTTGCAATCAGGTTGATTTAACCTTGAGAGGGGGTGGTAGGGTGGTGGGAGAGACTGCGTGTGTGTGTGTGTGTGTGTGTGTGTGTGTGTGTGTGTGTGTGTGTGTGTGTGTTTTAATTTAGGTTGATTAAAGTGTGTCTCATTTAATAACTCCAGTCCCCATGCTATAATGAGTTACTGATGATTTAGCCTCAGAGCCAGTTCCTGTGTGTTTGGAAAAGCTGCCTAGGAGGCATGTGGGCAACTTGAGATAGAAGGTTGGTGTCTTGGGTCACACAGATGGATGATTTGTTGGAAATGGGGAACACGGACAGAGAATGAGGCTCATGGAGCGGGAACCTCTGAGAGGATAGGTCCTTGGGTTCCCCAGTAGTGGCTGCACAGCCTGGTTTGAGGATCACAGGGCTGGTCCACCCTCCTCGTGACTGGTCCAGGCTTGGTGGTGCAGCCAGAAGCAGGACCCAGGTTTCTAGACGTCCCCTCCTCCTCACTTACTATCACATGAGGCTACAGCTTGAGAGGAAGGTGCAGGAGAGGTCTGCCTCGGTGCAGGGCTCAGTTTGGCTTTCACAACCTGGAAGAAAAGTGTCCACTCCTGCCTAACCCTCTGCAGACAACAAGGCAATGCTGAGGGTGTGTTTTGTGTTTCAGAACCCGACAGGAGGAGGCCCATCATTCTACCTCTTGTGGCCACAATGCTGACCGTCCGCCTCTCCAGGCCCCTGTCAAAGCTCCCTGGGAAAACCCTGAGTTTCTCTAACAGAGAAAATGGAACAAGGTAAGAGACTGAAGGGTAGAAGTGGCCTTGAGTGCCACACTCTCTGGGCAAAGCAGAGGGAGTTCTTCACACATGGATGATGCAGGTGGTCCTAAGGCCTGACTCAAAGTGACACTCAGCGCCCACCTTCAACCAGCAAAGGAAACTCAAAGGTGTCCTCAGAAGACAGAGACCTTCCCAGGGCACACAGGGCACAGAAGAATATCTTCCATCAGATTTTTTACTCTCTTATTGGGAAATAACTGATACAAAAGTTGCCCAAGTAGTACAAAGGGCTTCTCTATCCTCTTCACCTAACTTCCCTGAATGTTAACATCTTACAAAACCATAGTGCAATCATGAAAACCAGGAAATTACCACCGATACGTGTTAACAGACCTACACACCGGATTCAAGTTTTGTCAGATGGCCCAGGGATGGACCTTTCCTGGTCCAGGGTACAAACCAGTGCCCCGAAGTGCCTTCGGTTGTCAGGTCTCCTTCCTCTCTTTACATCGGGGGCAGTTCCTGAGTCTTTGTCATTCTTGACCTTGACATTTTGGAAGAATGTCTCTCAGTTGGGGTTTGTGTGATGTCCTCGTGTTTGGATTCAGGTGTTCATGTTTGGAAGGTGCCACCCAGGTGAGGTGTGTCTTCTCAGTGCATCGCATCGGGAGGCGCACGGCACTAATGTGTCTTACTACTTTGATCACCTGGGTGACTCCTCTTTTCAAACCTTACACATGAGGCAGCTAACTAAACTGTCCTGAGACTTCACTGAACTGCTCTGTGTTTAGAGACAGCTACGTACAGATGAAACAAGCAGCTCTTTGTTGAGAGTTCTGGGATTGCCCTTCCCAAGGGATTCAGTGCGCTTTGCTACTTCATTTTCCTCTGTGGCAGCCAGAGCCAGGAAACATAATACCTTTTGTCTTTATATTTAAGAGGAATGAAAGTAAGTGTTAGGTTAAATTCAAAGTTCCAGCAGCTGGAATATGGATGGGTATTTTTTATGCCAATAAATATGTTTGGAAGAACTGCATTTAGGCTTATAGCAGCATTTGCTTAAAAGCATTTCCCCGGGAGACAGCAGCTTGGTTGGAGATGGGGCTTCAACTACCAGAGGACACCTTAAAAGTAGAGTTAAAATGGCCCTTCCAGCAGAGGTGACAGCTCACTGAAGAGGGAAGGCGCCGGGCTCACTGCAACTATTTTTTTCAGAGAGTCATTGATTTCTATGGCAAAAATCTGTCTCAAGCATGCTTTTAAAGATAATTGAAGGTTTTTATAGAGGAGGAAATAATCCCAAAGGAAGTTGAATATTTTTGCAAAGGTTTTGTCCTCAAATGAAAGGGAAGTGAGGTATTAGTCAAGCTTCTGGCTCATTTGAGGGGAAAGAAGGGCTGTCATGGGGAGATTCTGAATCTTCTGGAAGGATTGTAGAAATAACTGGTTAGGTGAGGGACTGGGGGCAGGGTGGTCCGGGGTAGAGCTGAGTCAGAGGGCATTGGCTGTCCTCAGGGCAAAGGTGTCAGCAGAGGTCCGGGAGGGAGACCCAGTTGTGTGAGGAGGATGGAAGGGATCATTGCCTGGATCAGACAGGAGGTCTCTGGGTGGGGAAAATCTTGGGCCTCATCATTTTGCTTGAATCGCAGTTGGCCTCATAATCCTGTCCCCACCTGTAGGTGGATCCTGTGATAAAACCTTAACAAGTGACTTTACAGCCTTATACCTCCCGCCATGGGGCGGTCAGTACCTCTCACAGCAGGCCTGTTCCTAAGTCTGCCCTCTCTATTCATACTGACCAAGTTAATATATTATCCCTAGGGGCACCATGCCATCCTAATACCTGCTCTCCCCTACACTGACTTCTCATTCCATCTACATGCTTTTTCCTTGCTCATCTCCCCACTCAGCACCCAGGTCTCCCACCTGTATGATGTCCATCTAACCTGAACTCCCTGTTGAGATGCCTGAACAGACCAGCACCCATCCCTTCCCATGTGTATCTTCCCATGTGCCTCAGAGCAGCAGTCACCCAGTACACACCATCTATCTAGGTCAGTGATGACGAACCTATGACACGTGTGTCAGAGGTGACACGAGAACTCATTTTTTGGTTGATTTTTTTTTGTTAAATGGCATTTAAATATATAAAATAAATATCAAAAATATAAATCTTTGTTTTACTATGGTTGCACATATCAAAAAATTTCTATATGTGACATGGCACCAGAGTTAAGTTAGGGTTTTTCAAAATGCTGACACGCGAGCTCAAAGGTTTGCCATCACTGGTCTAGGTGAAAACCTCCCCAGGAGTGTTTGCATGTTGTCCTTCCCCCTTCCCCTGACACCTGACAGTCTGCTCTTCTTTTAAAAATGTGTTTATTGATTTTAGAGAGTGAGGAAGGGAGAAGGATAGATAGAAACATTAATGAGAAACATCAGTCATCTTCCTCCTGCATGTCCCTGGGGATCGAGCCCACAACCTGGGCAGGTGCCTTGACACAGAAATCAAACCATCGACCTCTTGGTGCATGGGACGACACACAACCAACTGAGCCACACTGGCCAGGGCCCAGTCTGCTCTTATTACTGGCTTTGCACAGCCCTTAGACTTTGGATACAACCAAGCAATATAAAGAAACAAGTTATTGATAAATGCAACAATCTCAATGAATCTCCATGTTGACGATGAGTGAAAAAAGCAATGCCAAGAACATATTTGCTAATACATCTAATAAGGGGCTAATATCCAAAATTTATAAGGAAGTTATAAAACTCAGCATCAAAAAACAACAACAACAAGCAATCCAATTAAAAAATGGGCAAAGGTCTGCCTGGGTAGCTCAGTTGGTTAGAGTGTTGTCCCAATATACCAAGGTTGTGGGTTTGATTCCCAGTCAGGGCACATACAAGAATCAACCAATGTATGCATAAATAAGTTGAACAACAAATAGATGTTTCTCTCTCTCTTCTTTCCTCTCTCTCTCTCTCTCTCAAATCAATAAATAAAAATAAAATAAAGAAGTGGACAAAGAACCTGAATAGACATTTCTCCAAAGAGGACATACAGAAGGCCAATAGACATATGAAAAGATGCTCAATGACACTAATAATCAGAGAAATGCAAATTAAAACCACAATGAGATATCACCTTATTGTGGTGATATGGCTGTCAGAAAGGCTATCATCAATAATTCAACAAAGTGTTGGTGAGGATGTGGAGAAAAAGGGCACCCCCATGCACTGTTGGTGGGAATGCAGATTGGTGCAGCCACTGTGGAAAACAGTATGGAGTTACCTCAAAATAATTAAAAATGGAACTGCCTTATGACCCAGCAATTTCACTTCTGGGAATATATCTGAAGAAACCTGAAACACTAATTTAAAAGAATATATGCATACCTATGTTCATTGCAGCGTTATTTACAATAGCCAAGATTTGGAAGCAGCCCAAGTGCCCTTCAGTAGATGAGTGGATGAAAAAGCTGTGGTACATTTACACAATGGAATGCTATTCAGCTGTAGAAAAGAAGGAAATCTTACCTTTGAGACAGAATAGATGGATCTGGAGAGTATTAAGCTAAGTGAAATAAGCCAGTCAAATAAAGACATATACCATGTGCTTTCACTTATGTGAAATCTAATGAACAAAATAAATTAAAAAACAAAATAGAAACAGACTCATAGATATAGAGAACAGACTGACAGCTGTCAGAGGAGAGGGGGGAGGGGGAATGGGTGAAAAAGTGAAGGGATTAAGCAAACAAACAAAAAACTTCATAGGCCACAGTGTGGTGATTACCAGAGGGAAAGGGGGAAGTAGGAGAGTAAAGAGATGATAAATGGTGATGGAAGGAAACTTGACTTGGGGTAGTGAACACATAATACAATATACAGGTGATATGTTATAGAATTGTACACCTGAAACCTATATAATTCTTTATTGATTTATAGAAAGAGAGAGAGAGAAACACCAATGTGGGAGGAAAATATCGATTGCCCGCCTTCTGCACACCCCGCACTGGCAATCTAACCCGAAGCCTGGGCACGTGCCTCAAGGGGAATCGAACTGCTAATCCTTCAGTGCACAGGATGATACCCAACCAGCTGAATCACACCGGCCAGGGCTGAAACCTATAGAATGTTATTAACCAATGTCACCCCAATAAGTTAAATAAAAAGTAAATAAAAAAGCAACCCCAAAAGGTTAAATAGAGTACAATTCCACTTATATCATTCTTGATATGACAAAATTATAGAGTTGGAGAGCAGATTAGAGGTTAAAGAGGATGTGGGTGGGAGGGAAGTGGATGTGGCTATAACAGGGTACCAGGAGAGATCCTTGTGTGATGGAAATGCTTTGTATTTTCACTGCATCACTGTAAATATCCTGGTTGTGATATTGTACTGTAGTTTTGCAAGTTTCATTAAGGGCAATTGGGTGAAAGGTACAGGGCATTTTTGTCTAATTTTTTTAACTGCATGTGAATCTATAATTATTTCAAAATAAAAAGTTAAGTTAAAAAAAAACACAAAAAACTCAATGGGGGAAAAAGCAGACATATGTAATACTTTAAACAATAAAGAATTTTAAAAAGACTGTCAGGAAGCAGCATAAAACCCAAGGGCTAAGGGGTGGAATTTGCATAAGGTTTTGTGAGCAAAGCCGTATCACCTGAAAGTTCTTCCTACACAGTGGCAGAAATGGTCACTGCAACTGATGGCCCACTTCCTACCAGCCTAGCAACCCTGGAGGAGAGAGGACCTCTTTCTCAGTAGTACCAGCAGGATGTCCCCAGGGGCTCTGGGTGGCAAGACAGTCCGTGCTGCTCACTGGTGGCTGAGGGTACTCTGAGTTGCTTCTGCCCCAGGAACAAGGTCTGGGTGTGTCCACAGCCTGTGCTCATGGCTTCCTCTTCTCTTGCAGGCACGCACTGCTGTTTTACCCTGCCTCCTTCGTCCCTGTGGGTCGTCGCACTTACGCTGATGCAGTGAACCCGGTGAGTGGCAGCCCAGGTACCTGGGAACCAGCTAGGTGGTCACAGGCCTTCCCTCTGGGCCCCCTGGGCCCTGAGCTACCTTCCGAGTACCAGGCTTCAGAGCTTCTAGGACACTCAGAGCCACTTGCTCACATTCTTAACCTACACTCCGCCCCCCGCCCCCCGCCTCCCAAACCTCCCTTCAAATGAGCTTTAGAGGTTAAGAGTTTAGACTCTAGAATCCAACAGGCCTGATTTCAATTCCATTTCTATCACTTAGTATGTTGGGCATTTAAAAAATATCTGTTTCCTCATTCATAGCATGATATAATAATCATGATTACTATATACAATTATTATGAGAATTAAGAGAGAAAAATATCAATTGACTGCCTTCTGTACCAATTCTAATAATAACTCCATGTAGTAATCATGCATGCACAGTGCTTGCACGTGGTAGGTAATGACGAAGATGATATGATGATTATGATAATGGTGATTGCAGGTGAGAAAACCGAGGTCCAGAAAGGGGACCTCAAGCAACATTATTAGTTGGTGGCAGAGTCTGGGTTAGAACCTGGTCTCCTGATTCTGAGTCCAAGCTTTTCCCAGTAGACTATGGTGCTTCTCCTGACGGAAAACACTAGGCAGGGAGGCCTAGGCACGGTCCACTCCGGAAGCACTTTTTGTTACTGCCCAGAGGAGGACGGGTCACTCTGCACTCAGGATCCTGGTTTCTAACGTGGGGTCTGAACTTCTAAAATAGGTTGGCAGCAAAGCCGTCCTGGTCACAGGCTGCGACTCTGGATTTGGGTTCTCCTTAGCCAAGCATCTGCATTCAAAAGGCTTCCTCGTGTTTGCTGGCTGCTTGTTGAAGGTAAGAGATGGGTCATCATTGTCACCATTGTCCTTCACACATAGTCATTGTTTTGTACGTTGTTATTTTTAATTGCAGTAAAATACACATAACATAAAATGTACCATCTTAACCATTTTAAGTGTACTGTTCAGTGATATTACATATATTCACATTGTCTAAGTACCTCATATAAGTAGAATCATACAGTATTTGTCTTTTTGTAACTGGCTTATCTCACTTAGCGTAAAGTCTTCAAGGTTTGTCCATGTTGTAACATCTTACAGAATTTCTTTTTTAAGGCTGAATAATATTGCATTGTATGTATATATTACATTTTACTTATCCATTCATCTGCTGATGGACACTTGGGTTGCTTCCACATTTTAGCTACTGTGAATAATGCTACTGTGAACATGGGTGTACAAATATCTCTTCAAGATACTGTTTTCAATTCTTTGGGGCATATATCCAGATGTAGAATTACTCAAATCATGTGGTAATTCTATTTTTAATTTTTTGAGGAATTGTCAAACTGTTTTCCACAGCAGCTATACTGTTTTACCTCCCATCAACAGTGCACAAGGGTTCTGATTTTTCCACATCCTTGCCAATACTTGTTTTCTGTTTTTAGATAGTAGCTATCCTAACATGTGTGAGGTGATGTTTCATTGTAGTTTTGATTGGCATTTCCCTAATGATCGGTGATGTTGAGCATCTTTTCATGTGCTCATTTGTCATTCATACTATCCCCTTTGGAGAAATGTCTATTCAAACCCTTTGCCCATTTTAGAATTGGGTTGTTTTTTGTTGTTGTTGTTGAGTTTTAGGAGTTCTTTATATATTCTGGTTATTAATTCCTTATCAGTTATATGATTTGCAAACATTTTCTCCCATTCTGGGTATTGTCTTTTTACTCTGAGGGTAGTGTCTTTTGATGTACAAAATTTTAAAAATTTTATTAAGTCCAGTTTGCCTATTTTCTTTTGTTGCCGATGCTTTTGGTGTCATAGCCAAGAAATCATTGCCAAATCCAATGTCATGGAGCTTTTGTGCTATGTTTTCTTCTAAGAGTTTTGTGTCTTACATTTAGGTCCTTGATCCATTTTGAGTTCATTTCTGTATATGGTGTTAGGTAAAGGTCCAACTTTATTCTTTTGCATGTGGATATCCAGTTTCCCCAGCACCATTTCTGAAAAGACTGTCCTTTCCTGCATTGAATGGTCCTTGTAAAAAAAATCATGTGAGGGTTTATTTCTGGACTCCTCCTCTGATACAAAACCTTATATTCCTCTCCTGACGCCCCCCACCACTGCCACTCTCACCTCACACTCCTCTCCCTTACTCAGGAGGCTGCAGCCACAGAGGCCTCCTGCTGTTTAACACACCAGGTACACACCCTCCTCGGCTTTGGCGTGGCTGCCTCCTCTTCCCCAGATTTCTTCAAGACTTGCTCCCTCACTTCCTTCCAATGTCACCTTCCTGGTGAGGTCTTTCTTCCCTCTTTAAAACTGAACACACCCTTTACCACATTCACCCCCATCTTCTTTTCCTGCCTCTCTCTGGGATCATAAGGAAGGCTCGACGGGCCAAGGTGGCATCTCATCGCCATCTGGAAGGATAAACAGGAGTTCCCTGTGATGGATGGAGGTGACATAGCCAGACACTGCCAGTCATCTGACGTGGCTGAAGCCCAGTGCCCTCGTGGAACTCGTGGAAGAAGAGGAGATGAGCTGGGAAAGGAAGGCAGGACCGGAGCAGGAGGGGCCCTGAATGCCTCTGACGCGGCTTTTGTCAAGGATGCCAGATCCATTGGTCACTTCTCAGACCAGGCCATACTCAACCCGTCAGCAGACTTGACCATACGACTTGTTTGTTACACTTTGTTTCTTGACTTTGTGGACACCTTTCTCTCCATCTTCTCTGCCAGCTCCTCCTGCTGCTTCTCCTGTAACTAGTACAACGCCCTAGGCTGGCTTCTCTCGTCACAGTGTTTCTCAGACATGTGACAAGATGCTCACAGGTAACAAGTGCTGAGTGTCCTTACACCCGGCCTTGAGGTGCTAGAGCACTAACAACAAATGCTGGGAGACTGTGAAACCTTTCTGCCAGGATTAGCCCATCAGCTGTCTCACAGTGGAGGAGGTGGAGGGGTTGGACAGAGTTGATAGTGTGCTGTGGTATTTTCCATCTGGTCTCAAGTAAAATGAAGTTGGTTTCAAGAGAACTCCTTGGAGAGCTTACCATGTGTGCCCTGGCATCTGAGGCCACAGAATGGTGTGTTTATGTTTGCAAGGCCCAAGAAAGAGGCCAGAGTGGCTCGTCTGGAAGCAGTGCAGGAGAGCTGCCTAGAGGAAGGGCTGTCCTTCTGCCTGGGCAGGACACTGTTGCCTGAACCTGATGTGGATAATGGGAGAGCCCCTGGAATCATCTTAAGGGCACCTGCCCAGTGAAACTCCGAGGGGGTCATGCGACCTGACCAGAGGGGTGGCTCCCGGAAGCCCTGTCTGAGGGAGAAGATGCACAGTAGGAGGAAGGAAGGCCACAGGAGTCTCCAGGCGAGGGATCTTCTCGGAACCCACAAAAGTGCCCCAGGGAGGGAGGGCCAGCCAGGACACCACCCTCACAAGACTAGAGTCTTGCTCCCTCACTTGTCAGCCTCTGCATCCAACCCTGGGAGGATCTGAGATTAAGGAATAAGAGAGGAGGAGCAGCTAGAACATAGTGAGAAAGACAACCTCTGCCCCTGCTGCCTGGCGCCCCACACTCCATCAGGCCTGCGGCAGGGCAGGCTCTAAACTGGATACAAGTTTGAGGGAGGGTTTGGGTTTTCAACCCACGCTGGGCTGGAGTTACTTGATTAGCAGACCGAACTGGACTCTTTGTGCCAAAACAAAGAGTCTCTCTATTATCTGAGAATGAGTGGAAACACTGTAAGACTTGCCTGGAATTTCATCCAGGTGTGGAAAACATAGCTTACAGGTGAAGTTTAAAGGGATAGCGACAGAAGGCACTGCCCCTTTACAAAGGGACCAACGCAGCAGGACCGAAAGCTCGTCTCTGAGCAGCAGACAGATGTGGAGCCAGGGATGCGGTGTGGCCCAGGCAGTGCGACCTTGGCCTGAGGATGGGGACGGGCCATCTCGTCTGTAGCCTGCAGACCGAGGGTGGTTGGGGAAGGTTTCCTAGGAACAGCTGGGGCAAAACAACAGTCCCCTTCCCCATAGAGGTGGCTGTCAGGAGCAGGGTGTGCAGGCTGCTTAGAGATGAGTGCGGACTCCTGAGGAGGTCTGTCAGGTGAAGGTAGGAAGGTGGGGCTTCCCTTTTGGGGGCCTGAATGCTAAGCCTGAAGCTGTGGGCTATGAGATGACCCCCAGCTTCCTTTGAGAGAAAGCTTTTAGCTGCCAAGCTGCCAACCTAAGTTCATGTGGACCCCCTGACCGAGGTGAGGGGGGTCCCCGAGGACACGGGAGCATTGGCTCCATGCTGGCCAGAGGCACAGGGAGAGGCCAGGGGTGGGGTCCAGGAGTTACTGAAAGATTACGGGAAGAGGAAAGGACACTCAGGTATCTCTCGTGCATCCTCAGCTGGAATCTTTCCTATTGGAAGTTGATGTCAGCTCCCCCTCAGAGACACGGAGTGCTTGGGCTCAGCTCGAGGGGCATTTGAGGGCCACGATATGAAAAGTGCATGAAAACAAGTCATGTTTTCCTGGTGCCTGCGTGCTGTGTGTGGAAAAGAGAGGTGTCTGTGGCACCAGCCCCTCCAGCCTCTGGACTCGAAGGTGGCGTCCCCAGGGAATTCTTTTCTGGAACCCTCCGTGGAAACGGCAGCAGAAACTGCAGGCTTGGCTGCCCCTCTGTACAGGTAGATGGAGCACCTGCCGTGTCATTTGGGAAGATGGCACATCCGGGGCGGGGGGTGGGGGGCGCGTTCAGAGCCAAGCCTTGCGTGAATCGAGCCTCACACCTGGCTGCTCTGTGCAGACATGATTCTGGGTGTAGCTGCCATTCCTGGTGCCAGATTGGGCATAGACTCAAGCATGTTGCTTTTTCAGTAGAGACACTGGGCGGGGTGGTGGTGGGGTATCCCTGGAGAGGATGGCAGTTTAGGGTGGAAGAGATCTTAGAGGAGGGGTTTTCTCTGCACCATGTTCCCCATCCTGTCCCAACCCCACCTCCACCATCATTGTCTGAATACCGCTAGGCAGTCCGTGCCATCCCCGGACTCTGAAAGTCACTCCTCATTTTGAGCCGGATTTGCCTTCTTGGCCCTGGTTCTGTTTTCTGGGCCGCATAGGACAAGTCGGCTCCCATTTGACCCGGCCCTTCACCATTCTCTCCTGAGTCCCTCTGACAGTACATCCCTCTGACACTGAACTGCAGTCCTGGGGTTCGAGTCCTCCTTGTTCAAACCACTTACACGAGACTCAGACTACCCCAGAGAGAACCCTCCACGGACATGCTGACCCTCCTTGTGCTTTCTGCTCTGCCCCTTGTTCAGTACCAGCTGCCTGTGCCCCGGGCAAGCCTGGGCTGAGAGTCGGCATTCCTCTTATCACTTCATCCGCCCGCAGCTGTTCCTGTCCTCTGTGAGATGCGTCACTGCTCCCTGCACCACTGAGGAGATCGCTGCCAATTAAATGATGACTGACTGTTTAATTTTCACCTCGTTTGTAGCTCATGCCTATTGTGAAAATATGTGGCATCGACAGATGAATGTGATAATGCCGCCTGCCTCTGATGTGAGGGCTAACAGAGTGAATGCATGTCAAGTGCCCAGCACCATGGGAAGCACAGCAAATGCCCAATAAACGACATCTGCTTTTATTCAAACCCCCGAGCAGCTGCCCACTGCCCACACAGACCCCTGCCCACCTCTCAGCCTCTTGTCCACAACGTCCTCAGGCCTCTGCTGCCCCTGCCGTGGCGTGGCTTCTGGCAGCTCCCCCTCACCTCTGCCGGAAGTGCCCCATCCACAGGGGCCCCCCTGGCCGTGTCTTCTGCTGTCAGTGCCTTTGAAAAGCCTCCCCTGCCCGCCCCACCTTCTGTGCAGCCCCCCACTCCCCACGAGGCTTCCTGCAGCAAATACTCCCTGTACTGTGTGCTTACTCATCTGCCTCCTTCCCTAACGTGGCTTTCTGAGAACAGGGGCTGTGTTGTTTTTGTGTCTCCAGTACTTAGCACAGAGGCCCACGACATGTTTGCTGAGTGAGCGATACTTTTCTCATGTGTATAACACCTGAATTTGCATAGCGCTTTATCATTTCATGGGCTTTTAAAAAACAATTTCCTCGTGCCATTAACCTGAGCAGGTCCGGACAGGTGGCGATGTCCTTATGACTAACTGTAGCTGGAAAAACCGGGCACCTGTTGAGGGATGCACCTGAGTGCACAGAGCCTGGTTAGTGGCCAAACTGGCAGCGGAGCCTGGCCCTGGCCACTTACCAACTTGCAGGTTTCAGGGCCTTGGCTTAGAACAGAGGTGGCAAACGGGCAGCCTGCTGGTCACAGGTGGCGGGTGGATGTGCTTTGGCCCACATATTTTTTTTTTTTTAGAAAACCCAAATAAGTTGCCAACACTTAAAAAGTTAGGAGCTTTTGCACAGAAATCCCAATTACAAGTATAAAAATCTAAGCATCTGGCAACCCTGGGCTCACATTCACATGTGGACAACAGCTGAGCGGGGGAGGGGAGGCGGGTTGAGAGGTGAGACTTGTGCTCCACTCCCGAGAGTCCCCTTCTTATCATGTGACACCCACATGCCTGGCCCCGGCATTGAGTGTGTAACTTCTGCTTAGAGAATGACCCTGCCAGTGAGGATTTGGGGGCTCATGGTTGTGTCTATGGCACATAGTTTGGTGCTTGGTACATCATCAGTGCTCAGGGATTAGGCCCAGGTGGGCCTGCCGTTGTTAGTAGCCCCAGGCTTAGGCAGGGACTGGGCCAGCCCCCTGCCTTGGCCCTGGTCCTCCGTAGCCCCAGGCTTAGGCAGGGACTGGGCCAGCCCCCTTGCCTTGGCCCTGGTCCTCGTCCTAGAGCAGTGATGGCGAACCTTTTGAGCTCGGCGTGTCAGCATTTTGAAAAACCCTAACTTAACTCTGTTGCCGTGTCACATATAGAAATTTCTTGATATTTGCAACCATAGTAAAACAAAGACTTATATTTTTGATATTTATTTTATATATTTAAATGCCATTTAACAAAGAAAAATCAACCAAAAAAATGAGTTCGCGTGTCACCTCTGACACACGTGTCATAGGTTTGCCATCACTGTCCTAGAGGCAGGGGGGTGAAGCAGCTCCTCTCTCCTCCCAGGACAAAGGGGATGTTGGAGCCAAGGAACTGGACAGCTTGAAGAGTGATCGATTGAGAACTGTTCAGCTCAACGTCTGCAAAAGCGAGGAGGTGGAGAAAGCAGTAGAGACCGTCCGCTCGAGCCTGGAGGACCCCGAGAAAGGTAGGGGGCCCCTTGGGGCAGTGGGGTACTGCACGGGCGCCTTTCTAAACACCACCCTCCATTTGCTGGTATCCTTCCAAAAGACTGCTTTCTTTATTTTCAAGCTCTTCCTCCTGCACAGGAAGAGGAAGTGGGTTGAATTAAACACACCGTGCAATCAGGGAATGGGAAATAAAGCCAGAGGTGGTTTCAGAATCTACAGGAGTGATTGAATGGATGTGCTCTGGTTCAGACCAGTTCAGCCAATGCCCACCGAATGCCTACTCAGAGCCAGGTGGTGGGCCGAAGTATTGGGAACACAAAGATGGCCAAGACATAGTTCCTGTACTCGAGGACCTCACAGTTTATTGGGGAGGCGGGGGGTGGGGGACTGACTCAGGTGATTTCTATGTCCTCTCTTGCGGACAGGAGAGGGGGACATAGCCCAGTTTTGGGTGAGGTGAGGAAGGGGTCAGATAGGGCAGACTGTGGCAGAGCGCTGGGAAGGGCATTCCAGGAGGAGGGGAGAGCATGAATAGTGGTGGGAAGCACACAGGTATGCAGGGGAGGACAAGTCGGGGGTCAGGTCTGGTGGAAGTGGCAGCAAATGAGGTTAGAAGGGCCTGGGTGCCAGGCAAGGGAGGTGGCCACTCTCTTAAGGGCAGTAGGAGCTACTGAAGGGGATTTCCCTGAGGGGAATGGCCTGGTCATACTCATGAAGGCTTGCTCTGGGGGCTGTGGTGACAGCATGGGAATAAGAGTCTTGAACTAGGGTCGTGAGTATTGGGAAAGAGGAGGATCAGGTTCAAGTATTGAGAAGACACAGCTGGCCAGACTTAGTGTCATGCATGTGGGGATGAGGGAGAGACAAGAGACCTCCATCCTGGACACCTGGTACACCTCATGGAGGAGCAGGTTGAGGGCTGTGGAGATGCTGAAGTGCCCAAGGGACACCCTGGGGGAGTATCTGGGCTGGAGCTCGGGTGTCCAGGGTTGGAGGTGACACTAGGAGTGGGAGAGATGCAAGGAGGGTCCGCTGGGGAACATGAGCAATTAGGCGCCAGAGAAGGGGAAGACACGACTGTCAGAGTGGTTGGGTACAGTGCCCCCGAAGCTAAAGGGACAGAAAGTTTGGGGGACAGTAGCCAACAGGACACATGATGCCGAAAGTTTCTGTAACATAAGGACTCAAGTGTCCTCCCAGTTCAGCCCACGAGGGCCTTGATGGGAAGGGCTCTGTGGTACAACAGAGGGGAGGGCACGCCATTCACGTAGAACCCAGTGTGATGGTGCTGCCGGGGGAAGCCAGTTCAGTCTCCTCACTTCATCTGTAACATTCACCTTTGAGCTTCCCAACAGCCCAGGCAGAAAGGCTATGCCTCAGCTCCCTGCTTCCCCACAGAATGGGCTGGGGACAGCTCTCCTGAGCAGTGACTTCAGTTGCTGGTAGAGGGGAGGAAGAGTGGGGTGACCAGGGCCAGTGCCGGGCACTCTGCTGAGCATCATCAGTCAGGGGACATGCTGCCGCCCCAGCGGCACCTCAGAAGCCCCTGTGCTGTGAGGAGCTGTTGCTCTCGCTGCCAGCCTGTCACTGACTCGTCACCATGTCAGCCCAGTGCCACCCCCACCCCACAGCAGGCCATTCCCAGGCCCCCCTGCTCTCTGGGGAAAGGCCTGTGAGTTCCGGAACACCTGTTTAGTAGTTAACAGGCAGACCAGGGCTTCTGGCCCATTAAGACAGCGGTTCTCAACCTGTGGGTCGCGACCCCTTTGGGGGTCGAACAACCCTTTCACAGGGGTCGCCTAAGACCATCGGAAAACACATATATAATTACATATTGTTTTTGTGATTAATCACTATGCTTTAATTATGTTCAATTTGTAACAATGAAAATACATCCTGCATATCAGATATTTACATTACGATTCATAACAGTAGCAAAATTACAGTTATGAAGTAGCAATGAAAATAATTTTATGGTTGGGGGTCACCACAACATGAGGAACTGTATTAAAGGGTCGCGGCATTAGGAAGGTTGAGAACCACTGCATTAAGAAAAGGCAGGAGGGATCCATTAGGACCGTGGTTGGCAAACTGCGGCTCGCGAGCCACATGCGGCTCTTTGGCCCCTTGAGTGTGGCTCTTACACAAAATACCACGTGCAGGAGCGCGTACAGTGCGATTGAAACTTCGTGGCCCATGCGCAGAAGTCGATTTTCTGCCTGGCCGAGTCTATTTCGAAGAAGTACTGTTTATATTTGGCTCTGTTGACTAATGAGTTTGCCGACCACTGCATTAGGATGATTACCAGTCCAAAGGTGCAGCCTGCTTCCCCCCCTCCCCCCCCTCCACTCTCCCCTGTGGCAAATCCTCCCCTCCCGCCTTCCCTGGCAGCTGGGACGTTGCCTTTGTAAACCACGAGGAGGGAAACAGCTGCAGTCAGCACCATAAAGCCACTCATTATGGCCTGTGGGTTTGCAGTGATTTAAAATGCCCGTGTAAAGGGATCATCCCTGTAGACCTGAGCATGGAATGAAGCTGCACCAGGTCTTGGGGCTGCTCAAGGCCCTGGTCCTTGTCCGCTTCCACTCCCTGGGCACTTAGCCTTACCTACAAGGCAGAGTGAATCCAGCGCCACAAGGGGGAGGTGCTCAAACCCCAGCATAAACCACCCCTGAGGCATGAACCTTTTCCTGATGACCCATTTCAGTGAGGGTTGATAAACTCCTCAACGTGACCTCACTGAACCCAAACTGCTTTGGAGGAGGCTGGGAGAATATTTGAAGGTTTTTAGGTCTGAAAAGAAATAAATCTGTTAGATATATGGTTGTGCAGGTCTTCCACTCCCCCCTTCCTCTCCTCCCCTCCCGCTCCCCTTCTCCTACTCCCTCCTTCCCTGCGATCCCCTGCCTCCCTCCCTCCAGGTGCTGTCATCCTGGTAGGTAGAACAGCTCAAATTCTCCTCTTTTCCCAGCAATGCTGTCTTTGAACTCCAGGTGGCGCCCTCCCAGAGCTTTCAGACTAGCTTGTGGTTCCTAAAGGGGTGGTGCTTCTGACTCTCCCTCTGCCCACGCAGGAAGCTCCCAGGAGGCGAGTGGAGGGCACATTCTGATGCGAGTTTGGTGCCCTTCACCCTGGCTGTATGGAACAGTTGCTGCCCAAGCCAGGAGAGCCAGCCTGCGGGGGGTGGGTAAGATGAAGGGGATTGTCTGATGAGAGCTTCGAGCCATCTGCCACCAGCCCCTTGGCTCCCCAGCAGGACTCTGAGGGACTGGGCATCTGGAGCCTGTGACTCCCTCCCCAGGGAAAGGCCGAGGGGGTGGGCCAGCGGCAGGCTGTGGGCATGTCTGATCTCGAAAACACTTACCTCACCGTCAGTAACCATGCACTGAGTGAACACTTGGTGTGTAGTTGGTAGTGTACTGAGCACCAGGAAGGGTTCAGCCTGGCAGGAGGAGTGTGTGGTTGGTGGCCGGCCAAGTGGACGCTGGTGAGGAACGGTTATAGCACCGGAGACATTACACCACGGGCAGGGAAGGCCCTACGACAGTGATGGCGAACCTTTTGAGCTCAGCGTGGCAGCATTTTGAAAAACTCTAACTTAACTCTGGTGCCGTGTCACATATAGAAATTTTTTGATATTTGCAACCATAGTAAAACAAAGACTTATATTTTTGATATTTATTTTATATATTTAAATGCCATTTAACAAAGAAAAATCAACCAAAAAAATGAGTTCACGTGTCAGAGGTTCGCCATCACTGCCCTAGTATCTGGGACACCCTGGGTCTGGGAGTGAGAAGACTGGATTTACTTGGAGCTTCACCTCTTACTAGAAGTAAGACGGTTGCATATTCACCTGTGTGGGCCTCACCCTGCCCATCTGTGAAGTGGGAAAAGTGCTTTGGGAGCCATCCAGTGCTCATACCTAGATCTGGCTGCTGCAGGAGCATGGGTAGCATTTCAACAAAAAGCCGCTCTCAGACTGAGGGGTGGCGGGTGCGGGCTCAGCAGAGCCAGGAAGCAGCCGAGGTGGGAGGGGCCCTGATGTCAGAGGAGTGGCAGGCTGTTCAGAGAAGGCAGAATACTTGAAAGGGAGTGGAAGTGGGTGAGAGAAGCCTGGAAAATGCTTCACATACCCCACTAGGGAAGGGAACCTTCGGAGCAGGCGTGACTGAGAGAGGAGACTCAGGCTGAGGCGGTTGGATCAGGATGGAGGTGGAGGAGAGAGACGAAGACAGGCAGACCTGGGAGAAGCTTCCCAGTGATACAGGACCCAAACTACGCCGTGGAAACAGGATAGCAGACGCCGATTCTAGGGACATGAGAGGAAGTCAGTAACAGCACAGGGTTACGCATGAGGGCTGTGTCCTCACACAGACCGAGTCCAGATTCCATCCTGTCCGCTCGTTATCTGGGTGACACTGAACAGATGCTTCACCTCTCTGAGCCTCAGTGCCTCACTCAGATCCGGGACAACTTAATATCTACCTTATCGGTCGGTTGTGAGGGTCAGGTGAATTAGTAGATGCAAAATGTTTAGTCCTGGGCCTGGCAGCCGTCCTTTTGATCTTTATCAGTAATGTTAACAGTAGTCATCAGATAGGGGAGAAATGAAGAAGCCAGAGGAGTCAACCATTAAAGTGAAACTATTAACAAGGAGGAGGGGCAGGGCTGGGCAGCTGGGAACTTGATATGTCCGTGTGGTTAGGGTGAGTTGGGGACCTGCGGGACATTCAGGTGAAAGTGCCTGTCAAAAGGAGGGGACTGGGGTTAGGAGAGAGCCTTGACCGCAGAGGGGGGCATGGGACCCTCCACACGGAGGTGTGATGGGGCTGCTGTGATGGGGCTGCCGCAGGAACACAGCTGTCACCAGACCAGCAGGAATGTCATGAGGCCTCCAGAGAGTGCCTGGGTCCACACACTGTCCTGCTTATCACCCAGGCACAGTGTGCTTTCACAGGCCAACTTCCAGTAAACCTTTTTGGGTATCGGTGTCAGATGTCATTGATGTTAGATGGAAGAAAGATTACTTTAGGTTGTATGATACTGCCCCATATGAATCGAACACAAAGCAGCTGGAAAATTCCATGAACATAAAGAAAATGAGGCTGCCTAAGCACTGAGTGTAGTTTTTAAAAACATGAATTTTTTTATTGATCTCAGAGAAGAAGGGAGAGAGAGAGAGAAACATCAATGATGAAAGAGAATCATTGATCGGCTGCCTCCTGCACGACCCCCACTGGGGATCAAGCCTGCAACCTGGGCTTGTGCCTTGACCGGGAATCAAATCCGGAACTCCTGGTTCATAGATCAGTGTTCAACCTAAGACACACTGGCCGGGCAGCAGTGCGTATAGTTTGAGGATAGGTGGTCTAGGACAGGACATTGGGGACACCTGTATGTTAGTGGGGCAGGTAGAAGAAAGGTGGCAGGGAGGATGGAGGAGACGCTTGGATATTATTAACACCGAGGGAGGAGTGAGTGTCAGGCACCATCAGTAGCACACATATGGTGGAGAAGCTGAGAGTGAAGACAACGGGCATCATTAGCATGTGGCACCCTTGATAACCAGAGCAGCCAGTAGTAGGGCTGGGACCCAGAATGGCAGGGAAATGGGAAACTGGGGAGGGTAGCTTGTGTTCTCAGAAGACTGGCCTCAGAGGGGAGGGGAGCCGAGAATAGCACGAGGGAGTAGCATGGTAAAGAGAAGGTACTTTAGGATATGGAGACATGGTATTTGTATTCACCTCTCCAACATCTATTAAGTACCTAATGTGTACGACGATGTTGAAGGGAAGGAGACAGGGACAATGGAAGAGTGGAAGTTGCAAAAACGAGAGAGGATTGATGGCTTACCATTAGGAAGGTGGAGAGTGAAGTGTCAGCCTTGGCCAGGGCCGAGAGAGGCTTCCTGGGAAGAGGAGGGGAGGGGATGGCGGAATCT